AAGGAGCCTACGGTTATTACAAGTATGTGAGCACCGCCTGCCCAGCATGCTGACACTCCTGGTGGCGACGGCAGCTATCTGTAAGACAGCCTTATTACAAATTCTTCATCAGCACCTTGGGGTCCAGGAGCAAAAACCATGTTTTCAGATATTTTGTTCTTTCTCCAAACCCAACGAGGGTGAATCTTGGCTACTTAGAGAATCCGAAGTTGAGTATTGAGATAAAAAATGCGGTTTAAGCCATACATTGCCCCATGAAGGCCTGTGTTACTGTCCTTGCAGCATGTGGAGAAAAAGACTTCATTCTTTGCCTATTACTTCAAGAATGAAATGGCCCTGATGGCATTCAATGAGCGCGTCTTGTCCAGACACACGGTATCGGCGCACTCCTGAGGGATTCTGCACGGATTTCCTGCTTCCTCGGAAAACCAGGGCGGGGCCTCCTTTACATAATACTGTCCCCATTCAAGTGCACAGGAATGAAAACTAACGATTTCCACTGTGAGTAGTCAGCCACCTTGATGTCGTTTTGCTCCCGCAGTGACACGGATTTGTCCAATATTGTCTCTTGTGTGACTGAAAAAAGAGTAGATACGCGGGTTTTAATTTTCCACCACTCAGGAGACTGCCGTTTTTGCACCGTCCACTTGGGGACAAAACCTGTGTCCTGCCGCACCTCCCCTTGGTTCACCCCTCGCTCCAGCCGTCGCTGCAGCCACCCGTGTTGAGCAGGTGCAACCAGGCGCCACGTCCCATCTGCTGGTGCGTCTCTCTCCCTGCGGGCACCACCGCGTGAGGCACCCGCAGGGACCACCAGCCCAGCACTCACACCAGCACCACCTGATGTGCGAGGGAGTTGATGGCGCACGTGCAGCCCTCGGACGATGGGAGACGAGAACTGGCGAATAAACGCCCCTCCCCTTCCGGTGCTCAGTCTCCAGGTTCGTTAGGTGGCCCTGGTGGGGGTCAAACCCCCCGTTGCCCATAAGATAGATGACCTCAGGATGCGACATTACTAACTTTTCCTCCTTCCTGGGTTCCTTCTCCCTAAATCTCACTCCCGTTTTCTGGGAACACTTCCCATAATTAGAAAATTCTGGAAATCAATGAAGACATATTCCTGAAGCGGAGGCAGGGGATACCAAGGCCTGGGTGCTAGATGTAAGGTCTAGTGTCTGTAATTGCAGGAGCTGAATGGATTTTGCTCTTTTCAGCAATGCTAGTCCAGTTTCTGAAGTCCAGTGCCAATTCCATTCTCACATTTGACCTCCTTCAGGTGTAAGCAGATTGGGTAAATCACTCTCCTTGTTAGACATGCCATAAATGCAGTATCAGTTTGTGATACTGATTGACATTCTTTAAGTACAAATTAAAAACATTTTTTAAAACTTGAAACAATTCAGGCACACACACACAAAAAAGCACAGGAAATAAATTTAATGGCATACCAGCAAGATGAGACAGCTATTAGTACTTTATCTTATTTGAGTGTATTATTTCAGTACTATAATTCTATTTTATTTGTACTACTATAAACAGAAATACTATTTTTTAATAAAGAAAATATTTCAGCACAGCTAAAGCCTCACCCAATGTCCACTTCCTTCCTCTCGCCTCCATCTGCAGGGATAACGCAATTCAGAAAATAGTATCATCATTCTCACACACTTGGGAGTTCTGTACAAATACACTCCCATCAACAATATGTTCGTTCCTTGCATTATCACTCTCCTTACTGTTGGGAAGTCTAGTTGCAGTTCTTGGTAAAGGCAAACAAACGAGCAACCAATCTTTCTTCTCTCTCGGAGTATTTCTTAAGATTTTTCCCTGACTTTGGTGCTGTACAGTTTCAGGACAATGTAACAATACAACCAGGTGTTTAAGGAAAATGTATGGGGCCTGAGACTCATTGTGATTTCTAAAGCTGAGGATCCACGTCTAAACTCATTTCTGGAAAAAGAGCCTGTTTCCTCCCCAAACTTCGCCTCTTTCCCAAGCCAGGTCCCCCTCCCTGAGGTGGCTCAGCGGGCAGCCGGGCTCTGACTCAGCGCGTGGCCCCTGGGGTCGGGCACGGGCACCCCTCCTGCGCCCCGCCTTGGAGAACGAGGCAGCAGGAAGCGGTGGGCAGCGCTGTCCTCAAACCTGGGTAAACGTGTACGTGCGCGATCCAAACAGACACACTTTGGGGCGAAGGGGGGACTGTTAACAATGTGCCAGGACCGTTTCAGGGGAACTGATCCGGGCTCAAACCCTGGCTCTGCTTGGGCCGGCTGCACGCGTTTGGTTGTTAGGTGGCCATGGTCCTGGCCTGCTGGACTCCAACTCGAAGTCCCCAGAAGTGGCCACGGTGCTCCGTGGGCCTGAAGTTTGCCGGCCACTCCAGGTCTTCACGGAGCTCGTGGTCCAGACCACGGGTCAGGACCTGGCTGTATTTTCCACCCCTGACCTCCTTCTGTGTGTTCAAGGGCCAGTCTGGGAACTCGCGCTGGCGTGGCGTCTGCCTAACGGTGATCACACGTCCTGCCTCGCCCTCAGCGAACCCACGTGCCTTCCCCAGCGCCGCCGCGCACCGCCTCGCCCACGCCCGTAACCGCTGCGACGGCGAAGGCTCTTCTCCCACGCCCATCGGCACTGGTGATGAGCGCTAGGCGTAATGTGCCGCAACCTCAGAGAGGTCGCGAGGGACACGGAGGCAGCCCAGCAGCGGCAGTCAGCTATTTTTCTAAAGAAATACAAAAAACTCCCAGGTCTGATGGGTCAAACGTTGCTTCCCCCCAGGAGAGGGGATGCTGGATACGGACGTCGGTTTCCCCATCTAAGCCACGGGCTCCGATCCTCTCTGATTCCGGTTCTTCTTCTGGCATTTGTATTTGCTTCCAAAACTGGTCAGGCACAGCACTTCCCACGCAGGCCACCGGCCACCCTGGCGCCGCGGCAGGCGCAACGGAAACAGCCGTGGACCCCCCGCGGGGGAAAACAGCATGAAAACGGCGGAGTTTCCCGGGACGGCCCGCCGAATGTTCCGGTCTGATGCGGTGGCCGGGGTCGGTCTGGGAGCGTCTGCTTGGAAATGTCGGAAGACGACAGGGCCACCTTCGCCTCCTCTTGCCTCGTGGCTCTCCTCCCACATTAATCAGAGCCGAGGCCTCTTTCCTTTGCCAGGCTTTGAGAAAATGGCGTCTAAATGGCAATTTGTCAAAGTGATGAAGTGTTGGCAATCCAAATGGTAGAAGAAATAAAATGTGCAATCACTGTATAAAGTTCCAGAAACACTTTATTTAAAAATGGAGTTGTAAATGCATAACAAAATAACATAAGTAATAAATGTAACAAAAATAAATAAGGAGAATAATGTATTCATTAAAAAATAAAAATAACATAGTAAAAGGCCAAATGTTTAAACAAACCTGTGTAAACACTTAAACAATAATGTAAGGAGACAGATGCTAATGTGTTCCTAATCAACTCCTTACCTTCTACCTCCCCGGGGACATAATCAGTACCCAAACATTCAATAAAAGAAGGGACAATTGATTATGTTGTTTCACTGTTTCTTCAAACGGACTGACCCTGTTTTAATGTTTCATTTATTTCTTCAAAGCATTCGTGTCTTTCCATTCATGTTCTTTAAAACATTTTTTCAGTCTTCCTTTATTAGAACGGGGTATTTAGCTTCACCAGGAAAATAGTTCACTTACCCTTTTGAAAAAAAACTTTAAAGAAAAACATGAGATCCATCGCACAACAGACTTCTGTGTTTACATCTCTACAAAAGGGTATTTTTTGCTTTTCTTTTTGCATCTTTATTAACTGGCCCAACAGTACAGGATTTCTGTAAAATCCTGTAAAGTTCTGCAGTGTATAGTGAGTTTCTGAACACAAATGTAGCACAGGATTATTGCTGATACATTATGGACCATTTCATTAATTTGCAAAGGTTGCAGTTTTAACCTTTATAAACTGATAGCGTCAAGGGGAAACTCCAAGTCTACTAATAACATTGAACTGAATTAAGATTCACCCAAATTATAGTGTTCTGGAAACACGAAGGTACTTGCTTTCTTTGAAAACTTATCCAAATGCAACCTTACTGGAAAGAGAAGAAAACAGGTTTACAGAAGACATTTGTCACCGGCTTTCTGTTCAGTGACACAGGCCCTTTGTCGCTGTCGTTTCGCAGAGTCCTTACAAACGAGGAAGAAAGACGGAGACGGAATTCACTACTGGGTCCTACAGGGAAACACACAGAAGCAATTCACTCTGCCTGGGAGTGAGACTATCGACTAAGCTTACGACTACTGGTTCTCCAAGTGTCCTAATGCAGAAAATTCTAACTTCATGATCGTTTCGGGGAATTTTTTTTTTCAACTGTCACATAGAAACTCGGTAACACAGGACCAATATACATGTTCTTAGCTTTAAAAATAGACTCCACCTACACTATCTGTCCAGTTTAATCTCTCTGGTTATCATTGGCCCTAAAGCGAGAGAGAAAAATCTTACTTCCGTAAAAAAAAATTTTTTAAAAAGTGCCAAATTCATCTTTTTTTGAAAGTGGAGTAAAACGCTGTAGGGTTAAAACGAATACAGTATTATCAGTCTCCTATGTACAAAAAAGGGCGGTTAGTCCTTACTGATCTACAGATACGCCCGCCTACCACTCCCAGCAAATCTTAGTGCAAACATAATAGTTCATCTCCGGAAACCCCAAGACAATTTACGTAGCAACAAAATTATATAAATCACATGTATGTTGGAAAATTTTAGAACATAAGAACGACTTTTTTTAAAAGGTCAGTTTGACTGTGAAGAGTTATAGATCACTGTATCCAATGGCAATGAGTACTAATATAAATCCTATTACTGAGAAGTAAATATAAGTGTTTAACAAATCTGTACAGGTGAAGAGAAAGTCCGTTTCGGGGAGCAGCTGGGCACAGGAGACACGGGGGCCAGAAATGCTGGGCATTTAGCTTGCCTGTAGGTCACAGCATGGCTTTAAAAAAAAACAGAAACAAAAATCTGTGCAGGGAAAGGATGTCATTATATTCAATTTGGAAACCATAAAACCACAAAAGGCGAAATCGCCACAATCTGCTTTTTCCTACGTGTGCACCAAGTGGATATCTGAGTGGCCAGAAGGGATGAATATGATACCACGTTAGAGGGGAAAAATAAATAAATAAAATTAAAAAGCCAGAGATAACAAGATTGTACTTGACCAAGCTGTCTTGTTTTGTGCAAGTCGACACCACGCTGCTGCCAGTACTCCCGGTCATTCCACAGGTCGTTCCTTCCTAACAGTCCAGAGAAAGTCACTCGGGCACTGCGATGTCCTCCTCTTCCCCGTCGGGGTTGAACCTGTTGAAATGGATGCTGAAGTCGGCCTCGGACTCCGCGTTCTCAAATTCGGCCGAGACCGAGACGGCGGCGGGGTGAAGGGCCCGGGCTTCCGGCGGGCAGAGGGACGGCGCCTGGCCCGGGCTGCCGTGGTTGTTCACGGGGCTGGACTTCTGCTTGGGGGGCGACGGCAGCAGGGCGCTGGGGAAGCCCATGCTGTTCAGGGCCTCCAGGGTGCCGTCCGGGTCGATCATGGCGTTGATCACTGGCGGAGGGAGAAGGAGGAGGGGGAAGACAACTGTCGATGCGGTGAAGTTTGGAGCGCAACATCCCTATGCTTGGGTAATATTTTGACTATTGATGCTTTCATTTGATGCTTAATTTTGGCTAATCCTTTCTATACTGTTTTAAACCCGACTTCAGTAATTTGGGGGCTGATCTATAGAGTTCACATACCCGAGTGCTCTCTCTGGTGCCCTGAGCGGCTCACTTAGGGGCATTTCAGAGCCTGTTGGAAGACTGGTATTTGGAGATGTGGAATTCAGTAAAGGTCTTTTTAAAATACGCTTTCCTTTTTTTAAGGGGGATGACTGAAAATACTGCTTATAATTTTAGTACAGACTCCTGGCGGTATTAATCACTCTGGGAGCCGGGGATGGGTTGCTATTGATGGGGTGCAGGGTAACCTGAAGGCTTGGGAAACTGAACAATGTGAGCCCACGCTGAGTGCCACCAATGTCATGCTGTCATTTGTTCTGGTGACAGTGCCAGGAGAGTGGCTGCGTGCAAGTGTGCATGTGTGTGCCACTGGGCCCTGAGGATCCCCTCGTAGCCTAGAAACTGGTATCCCCTGGCAGTCCCAGCTGGCCAAATGGACCTTGCGACCTCCATGGGAAGGGCCAGTTAAAACCAGTTTTCAATCCAAAAGATCTTTGAGTGGACAAGGAAAAATCTTAGGCAGTGATTTTCAACTTAGCCTTGGGTAGAGAGGGGTTTTGGGAGAAGGAAGCACCGACAGACTTAGGGATCACCTGAGAGGCCCTCTAGGTGTACCCCCATTCTACCAGCTAACAGAGCCACTTTTACTCATGGGGTTCATCCAAACGCTCAAGGGGTGTTGAGGCTGAATAAAGATTGAAAATCACTTAGGTAGGACTCACATATCATGTCTATGATAATTCAAGCAACAAAAACTGAATAGAATTAGCAGTTCATCCTGGAATTAGCTGTGGCACCACTGGGGACCTCTGGGGACCTCTGGGTCCAGGCCTACACAGGCCCTGATGCGTGACTGAGATCTGACACAGCCGACACAAGGTCCCTGTCCAAGGAGGCGGCTAACCGAGCTCTCTCTCCTCGCTCTCTCCTCTGGGCCCCATGGTCATGGCCAGACTGATGTACTCGTTTCTCGTTCACCAGCCGTCACTGCTTGTGTTCCCAGTTCACCTGGGTTCCTCCACGAGTACAATTTAAGAACCGCCAGGCCAAAGACAGAATGCTAACTCTCGATAAGTATTTTCAGTTGCATACACATATTTTAGTACATTATTTTACATGTTTTTCACATATTAGTATCTATATATTTAATAGCTAATACATATAAGACTATAAGTTAGTTTATAACATCTAACAGTATGCCCAAGATTTCCCTTTGCTGTCTTTTAAATTATTTATATTGGGCTTTAAACTTTCTTTTTATGAGTAATTTGGATAATCACAACTCTATACTTTTATCTGTGTCATTATGTTTAATCAAGTAATGTTCTAATGATAAGGATACTCTAAGAAATACCACTTACTACGCACTGTCCTAAACTGTTAGCTCTTTCCACGGAATCCAACAGCAGACTCACCTTGCAGCTGGTTCTCAACTCTCTTCAGCTCCTGCAAGATGGAGGAGATCTCCTGTGGGGGAAGCAACGACAAAAATGACCTGACTTCATGAAAAACATCTTTATTTGATAGGCAATGATTCTCAGACTCACCTTATTTGGGATACTTAACATTCTCTACATGGCACTACGTTTATAGCAATAAGATATGAAATGATTAGGATATCCAGTGAACAAGATGCCAATTTTAAAATCTTTCAATTAATGTTAAAATAAAATTACTTTTTTCCATGAGACAGCAATAGAAGATGGAAAGTTCAACATGATACTACTATTAAGAAGAGGTTTTGAAAAACTTATATTGATGCACGTTGCAACAACTTTGCAGATGTGCCTAAGGATTCGATGGTCTTTGGAAAAATGTATAAGCTTCCAGCCTCAGATTTAGGATGATTCTCTGATCAATGAAAATCTATGCAAATTTTGAGGCGAAGACAAGCAATTTATTAGGCCAATGGAAATGACTCATGTCAACTTATATTTGAGTTTGGCTCTTATTTCAAAATTGCCTGCTTCTAATGTACAATTATTACAAGAACACGAATGCATGATAATAATAAGAGACATAAAAGGTTCCTCCTTCATATTCTTGTAACTTCAAAGCAATCAGTATTTTAAACTCCTGCAAGCGACTGTTTAAGGCATAAAATTTCCCAAATATTGCATTCATATCTTCCTTTAAAAATGTCAATCAACAAACAGCTCAAAAATAAGCATAGCAATCCCTTAAAATAAAATGTCGCTACTAAGATATTTTACTAGTCAAGGAAAATTACCATACCATGCTTGAGGTTTTCACAATAGGAACTTCACTTTCAGTTCTTAATTTGCTTTCTATTTCATCCCAATTCCGATCTTTATCTTTAAATAATATTCTACAAATCAAAAAAAGGAAGCATTTTAATTTAGAAACCTATCATATTTTTAATAATAGAAAAACAAGGTTCAAAGCTAAACAACAATCTTTGCAAAGATAAACAATGATGAAGAAACCATTAAATATTAATAACTGCAAATAAAATACTCAGCCAGTGTTACCAACAAAATCATTTAAGTGAGTGATCTGTATTAAAAAGTAACTGAGTGGTTGTGAATATGTACATATGCTCTTGTGTATTTATCTCATTCTTTATTAAAAGCCAAATGTAAAACAAATGTACATAACCCCCCAAATTTTATGATATTTGTAATTAACCACCAGTTATAATGAAAACAAAACTTTGCTCAGACAGAACATACGCAGCATAAACACAAGATGAAATTAAGATTACAACAGGTTGAATTAGATATGAATAATTGTGTCTCTCAAGACTTCTTTATATAGGAAAAGGAATCTTACCGATGAGTGAAGTGTGAACATTATAAAGGTTAAAAACTAGAGTGTTTACTGTGTTTTTCTTTCAAAATGTTAATTCATGTTAGTATACTACACATCATCACTAACTGCTAGGAGTGAAGACACTATCCTTTTGATAAAAACAATCACAATAAAGATAATTACCCTTATGTTAGAAATTAAATTCATATATGTTAACTTATAAAGTACCCCACATTTTTGATTTGTTATTCAAACATGGTATCATTCTTGCCCCAATACTTGGGAATCTGAGACGTGACTCAGCAGTTTTAGAAAGATGTAAATGCCAGGCATCCTTTTGTTTTCGTTTTAAGTTTCTTTATTGAGCCTGGAAATCTAATTTCCTGCCTTATGTAAACATCAACACTGCACAAGTAAATTACTTACTTGTATTTCTTTAAGGATCAATACGCCAGGTTCAACTTATTTAAAAACAAGAAATTCATGAATATCAAATCAGGTGTAAAATATCTATGATTACCCATAACCACGCTTAAAAAGGCACTAATGGTTTTAGAATCCAATATAAGAACATTCTGATCTACTGTTGAATCTTTTTTTTTTATTTATTTTTTCAGAGAGAGGGGAAAAAAGGGAGAAAGAGGGAGAGAAACACTAACGGGTTGCCTCTTGCACGCTTCCAAGTGGAGGCGTGGCCTGCAACCCAGGCACGTGCCCTGACTAGGAATTGAACTGGCAGCCTTTCAGTTTGCTATACGACACCCAACCCACTGAGCCACACCAGCAGGGCTACTGTTGAATTTTCTAAACCCCCCAAATAAACATCCCTGCCAGGCACCTAAAGGCTGTTATCCTTAAGACTATTATATTACAGCATAAGTAAATTATTACGTGTGTTGTAAGAGTCCTAACAGCACTAGGATTGGTGGGAAGTAAGAAAACAATGACTATTTCATGGACCAACTCTGAACTACAATGTTCTTGTACTAAATAGGAAGTCTGTGATTAGCCACACAGTGCTGAAAATACAGTGAATTTTGCCAGAAAATGGTTACTGGGAAAAATGTTTGTGCTTCAAATTGTTGAACTACACATATTTCACATAAAGCCCTTTTCCATACGTGTTCTGACTCTTTAAATAAAGAGGACGCAAACTGTCCTCTTCACTGATGAGGAAGATCAAACTAGAATAAAGTCTGAGGTCTTATAAAAGAAGCCCCAAATGTCTGTTAACTTAAAATACCAGTATAACATGGAAGAGAAATTGTTTCTAATAATGAAGTTAACCTAAGTGACTACAGCTGTTCACTTGCAATGGTAAGGTGTGTGATTCTCTGGGACATTTATTTCTCTGTTTGTCCCCTGCACGCTGCCTAACTAGCCTGCGGCTCTCACTTCTCTCTGAAAAGGAAGGAACGTGGTCGAGGTGGAAGCAGAACTCGGTGCCACTGACTTCCCTGGTTCCCTGGAGCTGTGGTGGCAGCAGGCTCGAGAATGGGGAACGGGCGGCGGTTAGTAACACAAGCAAGGAGGCTGGCGGGACAAACAGCACCTGATCTTCCCGGCGGTTTTGTCTATGGACTGGCGAATCTTCCTGGAGAACTGGAAGACGGACGACAGCAGCAGATTGTCTCCCATGACCTGCGGCAGCCAAAGACAACAGCGGACGTTAGAGTATCACCTCCACCTTGTGCCGTCACCGGGAACACCAGTCACGGCTCACCGTTCTTATGGACGCCAGTTTTAATAAAAGATCAGTGAAGAACACAATTCCTGTATAACTACACTGACAAAGAAAGAAATATTAGCAAACAAGCTCCTTTTTATTAAATAACTTGTGAAGTTTCCATACTGTCTCTGTCCTATCACTTTCAAACATCCCTCCATGTTGTCCTACCATCCACTGCGATCAAGATCCCGTTCTCTCACGCCTCCAGTGAAATCACTATAACAGGGACAGAGGAACTAACTTAGAATACTAAATTTGCTAGGTATTCTTTCATCAAACAACATCAACAGAAAGATGCAGAAGATTCCAGTCCTTGTTCCCCAGGGCAGAGCCTAATGGGATAGACATATTTTTAAAATTTACTCAGGACACAAGTTTTTATGACAGTGGTCGGCACCTCCCCAGCTGAAGCTCACAAGCAAGGCCAGAGGTCAGCACGCTTGTGTGAAAGGCCAGAGTGACACACACAGGCCAGTGGTGTCGGTCACAACAACTCAGCTCTCACTGTGGCGTGAAAGCACCCCAGGGTCTGCACAAGCCAGTGGGCGTGGCCGTGCTGAAATAAAACCTGGCAGACCGGGTGACAGGCTGGATTTGGCCTGCGAGCTGCGCTTTGTCCAGGGCTAACCCATGGGAGGCACAGAGAGTGCAGAACGCTGCAGAAAGGACTAAGCTTAGGGCTCAAGGGTGGGTTCCCAAGTCAGCTCCTGAGCCTGTCAGAACTGCATCTGGACACTGGAACACAATCCAGAAAATAACATACGGCTTTGTTAAAGCTTTAAAGGCCAGTGGGGGCGATCACGGTAATACGCAGGAGCAGGAGATACTACTGCTCTATACGAATGGAGGTAAGCGCTAAATCTGCGATTCGGCGCTGCAGGCATTCTAACGAGAGGGAGTTCTGGCACAGGGGATAAATGCGGAGGGCATCATGGGAAGTAGTCCTGAGAATGACAGGGATTTGAATTTAGGGGCATAAAAGGTCATTCAGAGTGTGAAAAGCGACACATGGGGTGCTGAAAGGCTACATAAGCACACTGGTATTTTGTGAGTCTTGAGGGATCACATAAAAAGGGTGGAAGAGACGTATTAATTAGGATGAAGGGAGAAAGGGCAAGGTGGACTAAGGACGGATTGTAACAGAAAAGGCTATCTCTCTTTTCCACCCCCATAAAGTGCAGTTCGGTGTTACAATATATTAAAGATTTTGTGATATTAATCTTGAGATCACAATCAATCTAGCTGTTTCCATTCTCTTTAAAAATATAAACTGCCACACAGTTTAATTACATTTAGAGGAATTTATCTTCCTGGACCTCAGGACAGAATGACCATAGATAAGATTAGGAGAAGGGTCCTTTTTGAATCATTATCAGGCCAGGCCAGAGAGCGGGTGCAATAAAGCCATCGAATTTCCTGCAGCTGCACCTGAGGCGCTGGCTAGCCACACTCTTCCATCAGGTACATTTCTGCTACTCGGTACTATTGAAAACATGGGTATCCATGCATGCTGACTTTCAGCTCCTGTTCCTTAAGTCCGGGATGCACCATGCCCGCCTGGGAGCACATCCTTCTGCCAACTGCCGCTTCCTGTCTCCTTCTGCCGGCCCCTCCGCTGGCCCCTGCGCCGCCTCTGCGCATCACTCCTCAGTGAGCTCATGTTTTGGTTTTTTCCCCCAGATTTTTCTTTCGGGTTGTTTTGTTTTTCTGATTGTTTGGTAAGAGTTCTTCATATCTTCTGGATCTTTGTTAGTTACCTTTGTTAGCTGTATGTTTCACAATAGTCCTTTATATACTCAAAATTATCAATCTTTTAAAGTGAAAACATTTTCTGTCTTTTATAAAAATCAATGCCTACTGGAATGTTGAAAGCTATTTAGAATCTTTTTTTTTCTACGAGTTTTAAAGTGTTGTTTTCACCTGTTAGAGACCAGATTCATTTGGAGTTCATAATTTGCATAGGAGGTAGTGTCAAGATGCAATTCCATTCTACCCTGAGATGAGCGCTTTTCCCGGCCCTGTTTATCCAACAGCTCCTCCTCTCCCCACAGGGAGGACACCACCACCCGCCCCCGCCAGGGGTTAACACTGGCTGCGGGCCCACTCACTTCATCTCTGCTCCAGGTCCTCCGCCTTGTAATTGTCAGGTGGTCGGGCGGCTCTGTTGGCTGGGGCCTTGAGTCACCAGAGCGACAGTTGTTTCCTTCCGGCGTTTTAGAATTAACCAGTGGAGGGATCTTGCGGAAGTTGAGACTTTCATCAAAAACACGATCAACCAACTAGTAGGACAAGAGCAAACCCTTGTGAGAATGACTTGAAAAAGCACAGGTATTGGCATTATAATTTTTTATGATTAAACAAAAGTTATTTCATTCTCAAGTAGTACGAGAAGCATGATATCTTCAATAAACCAATTACTCTTTCTTTTTATAAGTATTTCAAAGGTGTCTGTTTTATAAAATAGATGTTCATCCACATAGATTTTATTTTCAAAATCCAAAATAGATAGGTATTAGAAATTTGACTCTTTCGTAGACGAGATTTCCCCCTAAATGAAAGCAGGCGGTAAGACTGAAAACCGGCCATGTAGATGGACAAGGAAATCATTTTACTCACATTGCCTTACCAGAGGAAAATAACCTTTTTTTTTAGTTTCCTATCTTGTTTTTTCCTTTTTTTTTCTCACCAAATCCTGGTGACAAATTTCTTCACAGATACATAAATTGCAAATTCCAATTAAGCTTACAAAAGGAAAAAACTTGAAATCCACAAAATAAGCATTTTGGTCTTAATCAGATAAACTTTTGACAATGCTACAGAAACTATATGTTCCAACAAAAAGGATATACTGCCACCTACAGTGCAAATTATGCACATACACTACAAAGTAACTAAGGTTTACTGAAGAAGGAATAAACCCTAGAATGATACTCAGAAATAAAATTAAAAAAAAAAAGAAAAGTCTCTTCAATGAGATGTTTGGATGATTTTACTGGGTCTGAGTGAATATATAATCATGTTAGATAAAATTTAGTTAGCTGAGAAAATATTAGCTTTATCGTTGTAAATGTACCGGAGGAACCGTGTATGTCTTGCCACCAAGAAGATCCTTTTGTTTTTCACCAATAAGGATAACTTTACATACATTTACAATTGATCAGTGTGGTAACAAAACTACACAGATGGATGAAGCATCATTCACCAAATGAGACAACACATAAAGGGAGGAAAAAACAAAAAAAAAAAACCCACGACCATTCAAGAATTAGATCATAAAAGGCACGTGCATGACAAAAAGCAACCAAAGACAGTATTAGCATAGTTTACCAGAATTAAATTTGTCAAAAAGGCTAGCCATTTTTGGTTACTATTGAGAACATTATTTTCTAAAATAAGGAAGTGGAATCATCAGTATTAGAGACTGGCAATTTTTTTTTTCTGCAAAGGGCCAGAGAATGAATATTTTCGGCTTTGCGGCCAACCAGTCTCTGTGCAACACTGTTATTTGATGCTGTAGCCCCAAACAGCCAGAAGATAATTAAACAAATGAGTGTGGCTTTGTTCTGACAAACCTTCACTCTTTCAAATGCCAGTCAGTAGAGCCAACTCGACCAGGGTACCATCAATTTTGTGTCACATGTTAAAGGTGCCTCCTGGAGCAATGGTAGGTGACAGCTGCCCCTACAGTTGGAGAGCAGGAGCCCTGGCTATGGAAGGACAAGGGTCCTTCTGCTAACTTACATCCTGCAGAGTTTACAAGGATGTTTCAAGACTGAGTATATACAGAGGTGGGCAGACAGAGGTTTACAGTTGTTCATGTGGAAAATAATACAATAACTGATAAATGATAATACAAGAATAAACCGTTTTGCACACATGACTATAAAGCTGCTTTTGCCCAACCCCTGTATTTGTGTATGTATACATACATTTCCATTTTCAAAGTATGCTTGTGTGTCCATGTGTTTGTGAGTGTGTGTATATTCATCAACAGAATGTTTAAAGTATGAACACTGTAGAATTTTTCTTTCTTTGCTATGAGAGCTATCTCCTACTTCACTAGCTTTGAAAATACCTTTCAAGATGTGGTATTTCATGGCCAAGCTTTATAGAAGATTTATACAATAATTTACCAGATTCTGGTTTGCTTTTCACATACCATTTATGTTCACATTTTCAGTAAAAGTATGCACCAATAATTAGCAAAGTACTTCTTTGAAATAATATCACAACTTCCTGTTAACAGCAGATCCAACGTTAGCCTTTGCTAGTGTTGTTACCAAACATGAGAGAGATCTGTGAAAGCAAAGACGGAAAATGCAGAGCTTCGTGCACACGGGGAGGGCGGATGTGAGTAAAAGAAATTAAGCAAGAAGCTGAAAGCAAAAGAAATAAAGAAAAGAAAGAACCTTATGCATCGCTCCATGAGGGTCTCCTACCTCTTCTCTAGTGTCTATGGCAGAGCCAGGGGTGGTAGCAGCAGTGCTTACTGTGGTGCTGGGGGCGGTGCCCGAGGACGTCACCGAGTCTATCTCTCCCGCTACGTCGTTGATTTCCCGAGCAATGAGAGCGAGATCTTGGCTGATCCTGGCAATAGTTTTAGAAAAGCAGGTTAAGCCCTTTTAAATAACAGCTCTAGAAACCACCAGCTATGTATGTTGCGTCTGTAAGGATGTGTACCTCAGACTTCAGACTTAGAGGACTTCTCTAACTGATTACGAATCAGGACACATTCTCAGAGAAGCCGAGTGGCCTGCTCGTGACCACACAACTTGAGGTTGTAGCTGCCTGTGTGGAAGGTGGCCACTGCAGGACCACACCCCAGGCGTAGACAGAGCTCATTTCCGTAAAGCCACCTACATGTGTTATCAGCCGCAAGGGATGAAGAACTAAGTGATCATCAAAAGAAGAAATGTTTCCTTTACTGCTACATTTTTAAGAGGGGGGGAACTTACAAAATCTACCACTGATACTAATGTTTTTCTCAAAAAGATTCCAGTTCAAGGAGACTTGGAAGTTTTCTAAGTTACGCGGCCGCTGCACGTGAACTCCATTTTGGCCGTTTCCACAGGGAAGGTTTTAGAGAGACAGAACATTCTGAAAGTACATGTGAAAGCTCCTTGCAACTTTAAAGTCCAAAGTAGCATTTTTTTAACTTATGCAAAATGTGAGCTTGAAACACTTACAAAGAATGCAGTAATTGCATAAAAATTTAACTATAAACTGAAAACAAGAAGCTAAGTTGAGGGTTGTGGCCCAACAGAAGCCATCTGTGGCCAGTGCCTTTTGTATTTACCAGTACATAGTTTTACTGGTCCCTTATTATGCATCAGGCACTGTGTTAGGCACTAAGAGGTAACGAAGCAGATAGGGTCCCTGTCCTAATAAGGCTAGAAAAACGTAATGAGCACATTATAGTAAAACACAATGTAGTCAAAACCATTATATTATAATATAATGAGCACCATTAAAAAGCTTCATATTCATCAACTCATTTAATTCCCACAACCACCTGTAAGAGAGGTACTGATCTTGTTTTACAGATGAGGAAAGTGAGGCTAAGCGGAGGTTATGTGACCATTTTGGGGTGAAGATCACAAGTAGTAAGTGGTCTAACCAGATCTTATGTCATGCTACATCTGGCATTACCATTCTATATATAATTTTGAAAAATTGGTTAACCATTGATACTATTCTTTTGAGAAAGGGTTTAAAGTGTTTCCTTTGATAATATATTCAGATCTTGTAATTTCCTGAAATGAAAGAAGTAGGATCAGAACAGAATAACCAGGCTCAATGAGATAAAAAATAATCATCAGCTTCTACAAAAATCCATTTGTTCTTTAAAGTATTTTTATGCAGATACATGTACAATGAAACTTCTGACATTTGTACAAAGTAGTATGAATTAATTAGAAAAAACATAGACCACGGCAATCCCAACATATCATGTAGTAAAACTGTATTAAAATGAACAACTCAGTGTATATAACATTCCTAAAAAGTTTGTTGAACCCGACACTTATGAAAAAGTCAAGCTCTCAACGGTTAATCTTTAACTCTAAGTGCAGCCTATAGGGAAGGTTCACAAAAGTTTCCTACCAGTAATATCTTCCTCTACTTTTGGAGGAAGCTGTCAGTTATATTTATTACATGGTGGTGGCATTCTGACCCAATACTGCAAAACCTTAATGAAAGAATTATGGCAAACCACATCTCATGTGTACCTTCAGTAAAAGTGTGAGGAACTGGGGCGAACAGGTAATCTGAGCCACAAAAGGCTGGCTCAGGGTGGGAGAATAATGAGCTGAAATTGGAGACTTCTCTTGGGCAGCCAGAGCAATTTAATGAGTGGCTCAAGTCGAGAAATGATTTACTGGAATCTGTTTCTGGCCACCAAAAGAGGTATTTAATTATAAAGAAAGAGGTACTTCCCACTGTCAATGAAACAAACTCCAAACGCTACCTTAGCACCACAGAGAAGTTATATTTGGTGAAATGTGGAAAGAGTCGTAAAACTAGGCTTATAAATATACTTATAAATACATGTATATAAATATATAGAGTAAGTCATAAATAAAAAGGTAATGGTAAAAGGATAACTTTGAAGGTCTCAGCACACAGCTGGCTATCAATAAACATTTCCTAATTGAATGAGAAAAATTTGATTAAAAACACTAAGCACCATTCCATTTCCACCAGAGACACAGCGCCTGCCAGTTAAGAGAAGATGGCCTGAAGTCACCCGATGGGACAGTGCTGGCCTTACTCAGGGAGCAGTATTTGAGATAGTGCAAATACACGCAGAGCAGTAGCATAAGGTGCCCTGAGGCCAGGGACTATGATGAAAGCAGAGTGCAGTACTAGGAAATGCTGCAAACTGAACAATCTGAACGGTAACCGTCATTTGAACTTGAAATCACATGCACGCTCCTTAGCTGGCATTCACAGTCTTCCATCATTAATCTGGCTTGGCGCTGCCTTCAGCCTGGTCTTCCCTTCACTGTATTCCTTCTCATCTTACACCTGAGCAAAACTTCACACTTTTTTAAACCTCTCCCGTCACTCTGCCTTCTATCAGTCCTTTCACACCTTCACTTTCTTCCTTTGACTGTGAACTTCCTTTGACTTGGACCTACGCCCAAGTCACCTTCGCGGCCCACTCAGGCTAAAGACTCTGCTATGCTCAGAGGAGTTGGTTCAGACTTCTTTGTAGAGCGCATGGGAACTATGTACACACGCAGGCACACCTCACTTTATTGCCCCTTGATTTATTGTGCTTCACAGATGTCGTGTTTTTTTACAAATTGAGGGCAAGACCCTCCACCAGCAAAAGTTTCCATGTACTTTATTGTGCCACTTGCTTTACTGCAGTGGTCTGAAGCTGCCTCGCAATGTCTCCAAGGTATGTCTGTAGGTAATATATATAAAAAAGTATATATATGGCCTGGCTGGAGTAGCTCAGTGGATTGAGCACGGGCTGGGAACCAAAGTGTCCTAGATTCGATTCTCAGCCAGGGCACATGCCTGGGTTGCAGGCCATAACCCCCAGCAACCGCACATTGATGTTTCTCTCTCTCTCTCTATCTCCCTCCCTTCGCTCTCTAAAAATAAATAAATAAAATCTCTTAAAAATTTTAAAACAAGTATATATATTTATATATATGTAAATATGATCCAAAACAGAACTTCAGAGGTATATAAAGCAAAAAGTTATGACCTTTGCAAATAATATCCAGTCCAAAGTAGGCTAAAACATGACATCACCTTCATCATTTAATTCTCTTATGTAATATAGCTATAATGAACTCATTGCTAAGGCTCAAAATAAGATATTCTGTTAATAAGATATTAACTCAAATTTCTCCTAAAATAATGTAATGTTACAGTGGTATGTGCAATAATGACTCTAAAACAATGAAATGTCTTTAAGCACCTTCTGATTCAAATGGAAATAGAATAATCTTCTAGTATAACTTTTAGGTTAAATGTATTTTTTAAAGTTTTATTTATATATTTTTAGAGAGGGGGGGGAGAAACATCAATGTGTGGTTGCCCCTCATGTGCCCCCTGCTGGGGACCTGGCCAGCAACCCAGGCATGTGCCTTGGCTGGGAATTGAACCAGTGACCCTTTGGCTCACAGGCCAGCCCTCAATCTACTGAGCCCTACCAGTCAGGGCAGGCTAAATGTACTTTTATTTGGTTATCTGTAAAGGTGGTATTATAGGTTTGTTTATCCTAAAATTCATAAAACCAACATAATCTATCAAATTTCTACTAGAAGGAAATCTGTATCCATGTTATAATAGAAAAACTAACGCAGGAACTACCAACACCATATTATCAGAGGTACTCAGAAAAAGTTTCTTTTTTTAATTGAAAACCAAATATAGTACATTTTGCTTATACACTTTATATTCCAAATGGACCTTGTTTTTGTGCTTTAAGTTTACATGCAGGTAAATAATTACTATGTAGAGATGGACAAAGCACTGGTTAAGTGATATAGCCCTAAATTCTAAACAACAAAAATATTGCCAAAGCACAAAACGTCTTGTAATAAATTAAAATCACTATTATGATTTCGAAATAAAATATCCTTACCCACTACTTCTTAGTGAGGACTGCCCCCAGAATGGGGGTAACCTGTTCAGGGAAATCAAACTACTTCTCCCAATCCATTCAGTCTGTGACGCGGAGCTATTTCAAAATAAACCTTCTCAGGTTAGGCAACCTGACCAGTGTCAAAAAGGAACACTAAATATCAACCTAAACTTTATTTCCTTCCATGCTTTCTCTCCTTCCTACCCATCTGGGTTTTTTTTTTTTTTTTGATTCTTAAAAAGTAAAAATAAAAACTTCTCTGGCTTTGAGATATATGGCAGAAAAATATACCTCGAAAAATTAAAATCTCAAAGGCAAGTTTGGTTAGTAGTATACTACTGACAAGCTGCAGGGAGAAGGCATACAAGCATTGAAGGTTAATGTGCTTGGCCTTAGAGCCCCGCTCTAGAAAATAAAACACACACAGACAATAGTAATAAAATGCACATAACAACACAGTGGGACCAAGGGAAAATACTCAGTTCCTGTTCCTTTTCCTCTATTCTGTTTGGGGGCAAGGATGTGGGTTTGGCCAAGAAGGTGTTCAGTCATTCTAGTTTGTGTCAAGAGCTTGAGAGACGCGGCCTCCTAAGACATACACTCTTGGTCCCTCAGGTAGAACTTGAACTTGAGCGGTGGGACATCTCCCCCAGAAAGGACAAAAGGAGGAGACAGGAGCAAGGCCTGCTGTTGCCAGCTATGCCCCCGGGAATAAAAAAGGTGTCGAGGGCCTCTCAACATAGGCATTTTGTGGGCCCAGAAGAATCCCGGCCCTTTCTCTGACTGGAATGCGGTTTCCATGCTTCAACAGTTATTCTCACGGGAATGCTGTTTATAGGTAAGATAACAATGGTTAAGCAGCACCGTGGGATTCGAAGGGCATGTTCCCTGAGATTTACAAGCAATTAAGGAATTGTAAGTGAACTATCATTGAAGACAAAAACTCTAAATATTATATTAAAATAAGTCACCCCTCCCAATTCACAGGAGTGAACAGAGAAAGAAAAAAAAGATAAAGAACATTATATTGTTAGTCTGTTGGGGTTTTTTAAAGCATCTGTGGACTAATATAGAATTCTTTAATAATGTTGCCAAATGTAAGCCTTGATAATTTTAGCATATATATGGTGAGAACGTTTAGGTAACATATGGTCTACTGCAATAAAAGTTAATGTCTCACAAGCTTTAAAGAAGTTATATTTTAACCACTATAGCATGTTTGATTACAGCCTCTCTCAACGTTCAACCACAATCAGTTATCGCTTAAAAATCACACCTGCAGCATGGATTTTACTTTTTATTATATAACCTAAAGGTTATAATAAAGACATTTATTGAACATTGAAAATAAACATATTTTGATTTAATTATTACCAGGCTGAAAACTCATAAAAGTGTGAGGAAAAAACCTGCCCACTCTAATTCTCCAGAGAACATTAACAACATACCTCTAACAAGTACACTGTTACCCCTTTGACAGGTGAAACTAAAAAAGAAGTTAGCTGCATAATTCTTAATTATGTAGAGCTGATACTAACTCCCTTTTAAAAGTTCTATTAACTCATTAGCATCTCTGCTGGAAATAAAAATGTCATAAAAATAAATTAATTCCACAATTCTGTTAGTAGCACTGGCATTGAAAGTCTGAAAAAATAATGGATGGAAAGTAATATTTACACCCGACAAAACTAAGTTAGTTCACAGCTAACCTGTGGATTTCATCTCTTGGACCATTCATCCCAATCAGGTACAAGCTCAATTTGTTATCAAGTTGAAATGTTGGCAAGAAAGTGTAACTCTTAAAGACAATCCGCCAAACCAACCTGGCTATCTCTTCTCGGTGCGCAGTCCAGTCGCGGATGTAGTCTTCCTGCTCTTTGATCCGGTGCTTGAACGAAGAACTCGTAGGCATTGCTGACCCAGAGCTCTGCAACCGAGTGGTTTTCAGGGCTGGAGAAGTACGTAGACGGGTATGTTTAGGGGAATTACGGTTTGATCCAAATTCATCTTCTGAGGTGGAAGCATAATCAGTAGGAAAGCGCCTCCATCTTGAATTTACTAAATTAGTTTAATTATTAAAAAAAGAATTATTATGTTGTCTTTTAAAGGAGATAAAGTAAAAAAAAAAAGCATGATTTCAAAAACACCACGAGCGCACATACAACACGATTTTCAATAACTGACATACACATACCTCACAAAAACCATAAGTCTACTACCCCTTAAAGATAGAAACATTACGGTTGGGTGAATCGGAAACGATGAATAATTAAAGATCACTGAAAGTAGATCATTTTCTGTAGTATGGTGAATAAACATTTAGATGAGAAATTCACTAATGGGCAACAGGTAAGCAAGCTCAGGTACTTTTTAATTGCAAGTATTTCTCATTTGAGTGACAATATGGATTTTTAAAAAATGACGGCAACAATAACAACAACAAGAACAACAAAAAATTAAGGGAAAAGATTTCTTCATGCCACATGGACTTTCAACATGGAGATGGTAAAAACCCTCTTTTCCCCACATACAAATGTGCATAATTCCTGCTGTGGAAATTATGGCAGAAAAAAAAAAACATTACCTCGGCCATTCGACATCCTGTTATGCTATGATTGGAAAAAATCTTTTTACACGGCAAAAACACGACAAAGCATCTTCAGCACAACTCTGCTGCTTCGACACAGAGCATACGGTGAGAATAGACAATGGCATAAAAACCACGAGGAGCAAAACTGTACAAGCTGTTCTCACAACCATTGACACCGAGGCACAGGAGATCACATTGGAAAACTCAGCAGACAGGTTAATGCAGACACTTCACTATTGCTGTTATTTTAAGAACCGACCATAATTTGTGAAGCAAAAACAGAGGTTAAGAAACGAGGAGGTAATGGTGCATCTATGGTGAACTCCACGAGGACAGGAACTGTGTCTGTTTAACCCACTAATGTGTTGCTCTAGCACTCAGCAGAGTGTCTGGTTAGCAAATGTTTAATATTTTTGAATACATGAGTTAATTCCTGGATAGTGACCATTTGCTTTTCTTGAATTAGGAAACACCTAATAAAAAGCATGAGATGTTTTTGGTGGTTAAAAGTAATAAAACCTTAGCACCTGCTGTAAGTTCCAACCGCTGTTAATACGAGGAACATTTTTCTCTTTCTCTCTCTTCAAACTCACCCCAGGCGGCATAGGCCGGTGAGGTCTAGAATGCCTTCATGTTATTCCCCTAGAACTTTACACCCTTCCTGTCTTTTCCTCCACAACTACATTTTTGCGTGGACTCTGTAAGGTTGAGTTGGCTCTCGGATAAAATTGGTATCTCAGCTGGTCTCCGATAAAACAGAGAAATCTGTAATCAGGAATCCACCATAAATCAGAGTCTACCCAATTGTCCTGATTCACGGTCCTAGCTGAAGCTCCTGAAGAACTAGATTCATGGGTATAAGAACATAAAGATATGCAGAAACTTCATGATTTTCTACAGAAGTGTCTGCAAACACATGTACAGAACTCTGGGTAATTACAGAGTTTTATTTTGAAAGGGGGATTAAATATTTCTTATTTTAACACTGTATCATTAACATAAATAACACTTTAACCGTGGGCATAATTTACTCATTTCTAGATGTTTAAAACCGCCCATTAATTGAACTGACCCTGAGAGCTTGAAAACAATGTTAGAAAAAGTTTAGGAACAAGAGCAAAGAGGTTTTAGAAAAAAGTCAGAAATATGGCAAACCAATGATAATAGGGCAAATCAGAAATATGGCAAAACAAATTTGTACTTTTCAATAAAGGCATTTCATTTAATGTTTATTTTGGTACTTGAGAATATGATTCATTAAAGGGAATGCATAAATAAGAAAAAAGATCTTTTGTTAGATTAAATGTCCCAATTTTTGATTTGGAAACGATGGTAACCACGCCTGTTACTGAAAACTGTTTGGAGAGAGAACAATACCAATATCAAAGAGCTGTAATGAATTGCAGAAGTTATGAGACCACAAGCAGGTATAATGGACGGAGGTGGGCGGGTCAGCGGTAACGTGGAAAGAACAGCCACGCCAGCCGACACAGTCCCGAGTGGCAGCAGACAGAGCAGCAGAAGGAGAACCAGACAGCCAAGGGCTACTAGTGTGGGTTAAATGTCACGTGACAATGTATAAGTAGAGCCTCGTGTGAATTTTAATAGTCTGAGCCCCAAGATCAGAAAATTGTAGAGAAATTTTAGAGGAAAAAAGTAAAAGAAAAACTGTCTTTTCCAAAGACACTTGTAAACTTCCCAGGTTTTTTTTTTAGATCTACCCAAGAAGCCAGTAAGAATAGTGATAGCTTCTAATGATATCTTTAAAAGGAAGAGCAACCAAAAGAATAAAACATATTTAAAAAACTGAAAGGTAACATTTCTAGGTTTGTTCCCTTACAATTTAGGGCAGAGGGGAAGATAAAGTAGGGTGTAGTAGAGAGACGGAAGTGTGGATACTCTCCCAGTCACTAAGGTCAGCTCTGCGGCAGGAAGCCACGTCATGCGCCGTGTGCTTGGCAGCAAAGCTCAGGGGACCCCTGAACACCACGTGGCCGGAGTAATAACAGCACAGAGAGGGGTCAGACGGAGTGAAAGTGACTCCGGACAACAAGGGACTGGGACAGAGACTTGAATGCCAGGGCCTCTCATCAGTTATTTCTCCAAAACCTTCTTTTAATACATTTTGCTGTCTTAATCTTTGCTTCCAAGCAGTAGCAGTGATCCATTTTATCTGAAGAAAATCCCAATGCCTACTTATTTCATAGAATTTCAGAACAGAATGACCGTAGGCATTAAATAGTGCAAATTCTTCAAATTACGGAGAAGAAACACACCCAGAGAGGTCTTGCTTTGTGTAACTCAAAGTTTAAGGCAGGTCTACTGACTCCCAGAGTTCGAAACCCATTCCTTACCATTCCAATTGCTTTACAAGTAAATGTTAGAAAATTTCATTGTTTTTTTTTACATTTCCAGTCAGACTATTTTTTTAAAGGCACCCTCAATTTCTCATAGAATGGTAGATTTTCTGATTTCTACCTGTGCTAAAGAAAAATGTTACTTCCTCTTTTTGAATTTTATTCTGCTTAGGTAAAATTACACAGGGAATTAAATTTAATTTATATCATTAGGTTTATTTGATATACCAGCACCACTAAGGCATTTGAGATAAATCATTAAATTGTGCTGTGATGCTGACGAGCACATACAAACAATGAGAGAATGTTCCAAGACGGGCTGAATTAATTTCATAGCTGACCTGAAATTTTGATCAGTTATATTAATTATCAACTTACTTGGGTTATAAAATGATGCAACACTCCCTCTTGTGGAAGTAATGACACATATGCATTATAAAAACATATCATGAAGTCTAGAGAATTAAAAAAGGGAAAAGGGGTTATTAGGATCATTTATCTGTGAATGCTCTGTTTTCTTTTACTGTTACCAAAAATCTGTTGACTTTAAAACGCATCCACATTTACAGATGTAACAGAAGCATTCTGACAACAGACACTGCATCTTCATATTTTATATGAGAATATTTTTCTGGGAATTTAAACCACAAACACGTTTTACATACATATTTATGAGCACGTAGCAGTAACATCCTTTGAGGAAAAGAATCCCTGACAATGTTCTTATAATGGTGTTTGACCACCCGGATGAAGAAATAAATTAAGCCATGAATGCCCATCATTTAATTTCTACCCTCTATGAAGTTTGAGGACTAGAATAAAATAGTCTAAAGGGAAAGCAAACAGTCTAAAACATTCTAAGGATGTTAACATGATGTTTTTATTTTCTAGAATGTGCACTTAAAACATAATGAAAACCAACTACTTTTTTTTGATAATTTAGGGTACTTAGTTTCAAATATATCTTATTAAAATAGACCTGAATATTTCTCTATACCTTGATATTAAAGGTCATTGAAGAAATTTAGGGGGAAAAACTAGTTAAATTACATCAGAAATAAAGAAGTATTAAAGGACTTTTACTCTTGCTAAATCAGATATTCCCATTCTATTTTTGTCATATACATTTCTTTGAAAAACTTTTTTTGGTATAACCTAAAATATAAAATTTGAGTTATTACAGAGTGATTTTACATATGCTAATATGGGCAATATCACACAGGTTCTAGATTCAGATATTTGAAAGATCTGTAAAGTTTATAGTATACATAGCAGCGCTGATCAATATGGTTTCACATTCTTTTAAATCATATTTCAGAAGCTAAGAATTTTATTTTCCTTTCCTATTCAAGATATTATCATTATCTTTAATAGAAATATCGTAATATCAAAGATACCTCAATTAACAATATTAAAAAAGTATGTTTTTTGTTTTTTTTATACTACCTACCCCATGTAGCTGTATTTTAGTATGTTATCATGGACTGAAATATCCTGGCCATTGTTTTCCTCGATAAAATATCATAAATGGGCATCTTGAGAGATTCTGGATATACAATCCTGGGTCACAATGTAGCTTTAGGCTCATCAGGAGGACCATGAACTTGTAAGACATCGGAATGACAAATGTTACAGTGAATAACCCCAAGACCTGTATATTGCATACCGGCCTTAGATACACTCCTGGTGATAATCCAGCAGAGCCTAGCAGTCCCCTGGCAGCCTGCGTGCAAGCAGACGGAGACTGTTTTTCAGGGCTACACTAGATGTGGCAAAAGCAGCGAAAGGCTAGGAATTAAAAGCCCTGGATTCTCATCCCCTCCCTCCCACAGCTGTATGACGAGGGCAGGGGATTTCACCTCTGTCTTAGCTATTAGCTATCTAAATCGAATGACCCTTCTAGCTGTTAAATTCCATGATTTTAATTATTTAATATACTGTTATTATATATGAAGAAGGCCAAAATTATGTATCTCAATCTGCCCTGAAGAAATTCAGTAACTAACGAATTCAAGGCACTTTTTGGACACAGAAAATTGCATGTTTATCAAGTTCCGTAGTCAAAGAAGCCAACACCAAAACTTATCCTTAAAGACATGTATATAATATGACATCTTATAGCCATGTCTTAGACTTGCAGAAGCAATCACACTTGGTTTGCACTGCAAATAAGCACCTGAAGTTAAACACTGAGGAATGACACCACGTCACGCAGGTGTTAAGAGCTTAACAACCAGGACGGAAACAACCAGGACGGAAGGAAGAGTTGTTCCAAGCAACTTGGTAACATACAGCGTGTGTTACAGCCTGTGTTAAGCCTGGAGAGAGCACTTACACATTTTTATGATCTGAGAGATGAGGTGACGTAACACACAATGTGACAGAGAAATTTTATCAGCGCACACACCAGAGCAAGAACAAAGGAAACGTGAAGAGGCAGGGCCATAAGGAACAACGGAATAACGTTGAGTCAACATAAACCGAGAGACAGTAGCAGTTAGTTTGAAAATACTTGGCAATGAGTCTAGGAACCGCCTACCAAAGCTTGAGGTGTAGAAACAAGAGGATGGGGGTAATAAGGGAGATGCACCTATTGGTTTTGGAATCATGCTCGCAAGTAATGTATCTTCAGACTCCACACATTCCCACCACAGGTACAGCCGCCACCACCACACCCCCCGACCCAGACGGAGATGGAATGTGAACAGAGTGGAGGAACCAGCGGTGGAGACAGAAGAGGAGGAATAAAAAGGGGAAAAGTAACACACGCAAAGCACTCTTAGTTTTGGGTCTTGTAGGCTATACTGTGGCAGGGGTCAAAATAAAAAGGTAAGACCACATACCGACTTTCCCTGCATTCTAACTCAGGGCTTGGGGTTCACTGAGATGCCTGCTGGCTGAGGATAATAAACATCCAAGTTTGCAACGGCTGGTTTCCCCGCACCCGCCTGTTCGGCCACACCCCTGCAGGAGGCTGATTATGAGGTAATGAGGCCGTGTCTCCTGGACACACACAAATGTCTGTCTCAGGACCAAAGGGGTCATATGCGTGTTCACAGGCCTCAGCTTTCAATATGAAGTATGTAAACAGACACATATGCCAGAGGCAGTTAAAATCTGGTGGGGGATACGTTGTTTTTGTAAAGACTACAGGTAACGACAGCTAACGACTATACTTGAATGATGTAACAGTGCTTTATGAGCTGATGCTCCTAACCCGCTAAATTTCTATAGCCCAGTTGGACACATGGGCTAAGTGACTGCCCCAGAATCCATCTTCTTCCACTGAAATAAATCAGGGGTCAGTTTCACTTGCCCCACCCACCAACAGATCTAACTTTTAAAGGTGTATAAGACAAGACTGCATACCAAGGTAAGGTGTGTAAGACATATCAAAAATAAATAGGTAAAAAGGGTAAAATATTGATAATTTCATTTAACTCTGGACAAGAGTAATAAAAGGTACACTGCTTTTCTTCAGATCCATAAAGGCTTTGAATTAGATATTTGAAAGTTAGACACATGCTTTTAGGAGCGCAATGTAGACTCCTATTATCTAAACCACAGAGTAATTCCTAATCTGATTTTTGACATACAAATCCAGACGGCTCACCAAGTAGACAACTAAATCTTCTGTATCAGTTCAGTAGACCTCTAATGTTGAAATCACTATTTTACTCCAGGATATTAACTGGAAGTGTATGTAACATCTGAATTTTCTATGTATTAAACTAAATAAAATAATTTTTGTAGGAAAAAACTCTCTAGAGTAACTTTTCTGTTGAATATTTTGAGAAGCAATGCTGGAGAGTTAATTTAAAAAAAAAAAGAATCCCAAAACATAAAATAAATATGCTAATATTGTAAAAAGTCTGGATTCAATTTACCTGAAGGAGAGCCGTGCGCGGAGGACATACTTTTGACCTTGGAGTCTGAGAGTCGAGAGATACTGTTGGCTCTAATTCTAGGAGAAAATTTATCCGAAGGTACTAGTCTGGCTCCACTCCGAATGATGGCTTCTGCGGTCCGTGAAGAGGCACTGCTTCTAGAGATGGTTGCTTCCGAGTCACTGCGGGCTGACAACGAGCCCAGCCGGGTTCTCCGAGGCTGAGCCAGCAAATCAATCCTAGAGATGTTCCGCCTTCCTGTGGGAGGTTTCGATGTGGAACTTGTTGTGGACACTTCAGAAGCAACGGATGCTTTGTCTGCATCGGCAAGTTCACTGTCTGAAGCTTCACCAAGTCGTGCTCGGCGCAAGAGGGAAGTCCTGGTGGGCCGTGGCCTTGGGAGAGTGGTGGATTTACTGGATGAGCCAGGCGCGACAGGGGAAGTCTTAGACTTGGTGGCCTTGCTTCCGTCCAGCTTGGAATGCGCGTGCTCATCTGTTGAGGTAAGGGGAGTCCTTCCATGAGGTTTGCAAGAGTAGGTTTCCTGATCGGACGACAGAATGTCAGAGATAGCAGAATGAGGTACGCTGGAGGTTTGGTCGTCGTCGGTTAGGTCCACCGAAGGCTGTCTGATCCTCCCACTGGACTGGACGAATTTACGCCCATCTGCTCTGGAGCCTATATCGGTGGATCGGCTTTTTGTTTTCTTTTCGATTTTCTCCCTAGCACCAGAAGACGATTTCGCAACATCTTTGGAAGGAGAACCCGAAGAACACCTGTCTTTATAGAGACTGGTGAAACTCTTCCGCTTTTGGGTTGACTTCCTTTCAGTCTCCCCGGTCACCAGGCTGATGGTACTAGCTGTGTCCACGTCAGATTCCGGTGAGATGGAGTTGTCTCTGTTGTAACTGGGAGTGTCTGGGCCTTCATCTGTTTTATTATCTTCGCGCAGTTTAGCCTCGAGAAAAGCCATCACCGCCTCTGTGTCTTTTAGAATAAGGGTAGTGTCCATACTGGAATCAGTTTCCATGGAGTCGCTTCTGTCGCGTATTCTGCTGGCAGATGCCAGCGCCAGAGACGGGGGTGTGGACGAAGTCTGCTTATTGATGTGGGGAATAAGTTCTATGGGGACGTTGGGGCTGGGTTTTTCTATGGTGAAGCTTCCTTGTCGCACTAAGGACTTGGAGGATTCCTTCTTGTCTCCTCCCTTCGAAGTGTGACCCTTCAGAATGTCCTCAGCTTTTCTTCGCTTGCCCTCGCTTTGTATCACTCTTTCTCCTTTGCTTGCAGAATGTCCTGGAATTTTTTCTGGGGCCAGTGACTCCTGTTTAAAAGATTCCTCCCTACTTCTCTCCGCCTGACCCGAGGCATTTTTGGAAGATAGTTTAGGTGTCCACGGGGCCTGCTCCTTTGGCTCCTGTTGCTGCAGTTTAGCTAATGTTTGCTTTACCAAAGAAGTTTCCTTGTCCACTTCCCCTTTCTCCTTCGCGGGGGAGGAGCCGACCAAGTGCAGCAGGACTTTACTGTCCCCCCCAGTTTTCAGAGGCTCCCCGTTGACCGCCCTGTTCGGCTTCGTTGGGGCTCTGTCCGCATCTTGCTTGTCCTTCTGGTACACCTGCGCAGGGGTTTCCTTCTCCTGAAGCTCCGTGTCTTGCTTTTCTCCTATCTCTGACCTCTGGCTCATCACCTTGGCTCTGGCGCTCTCCAGGGACTTCTCTTCATTCGGAAGCTGGGGGAGGGTCCGTCTCCTCCTCTCTCCCTGACTGGCCAAGGTGGCCGAGCCAGCGCTTCGCATGGAAATGCCGGATTCGTTGATGTCTGCATCTGTGAAGTAAAACCACAAAGAAGAAATCAGGGCAAAAAGTAAATAGAAAAAGAGTACCATTTTACACTAGGTTTTGAAGTGTAAGTTAAGAGATGGCTTGAGTATAAAATAAGACTTGGACTAAATAAGCCAGCATTGTGACAGAGCAGTTGAAAAGGCAGCACAGTGAATGCCAGGTGCACAAATGGGCAGATTGCTGACAGGGGAGCCAGGAAACCAAACTGCCTGAGACGGACATTTGGGTCATCTGATCTGAAACCTACTGCTGTTGCCTCTTTTTCTTTTAGTGTGTTTCATGGAAGTTCACCGTGTTCATTCTGGCTTTTGGGGCTCATCCCATCCTCTAAGTTTGGCTCATGACATCAGACTCTAACCAGTGTATTTATTGTAGAGCTGCACAGAGAATGCCTAATAAACACTGTTTGTTTGTTATACTTTCAATTTACACAGCAAAAATCCTGTTTTTAATAAGCATCATTGTCTAACTGAAAGAGTATGTTGGATGTCCTAAGTAAAATGAAAAAAATGTTGGACTTAATGTTTTTCTAAAAATAATATTCAAAGCTGATTAAAAGAATTTTTAAAATTATAAGTATGGAAGGTGATAGGACTTGTTTTAATTTTATAAATGGAGGGATTTTAAATTATGGCTGCCCGGTACATTAAGGCCTCATAAACAAACACACAATCACTTTCTTTTTTTTCAAGTTAAGTAGAAGCCAGTGAGAAAATACATACATTAATGTTTCCATGTGAGAGAATTTGAGAATACTTAAGGGGTAGTTTCCTGAACAGGTGAAATGTGTTTTTGAGAAAAGGGATACATCTTTCAGAGAAATGTAAATTAACATAGAAAGGATGCTAATTTTTTTTAAATAACTGAGGAAACAATGCTAGATAAAGCTTCTATAGATCTTTTTTCCTTTACAATTCTTAAAATTTAGCATTAAAATTTCATAGCAATATAATGATGATGCAAGAAAATATTAAACTTATCGATTTAGATAATTTAGCAATTAATCAGGTATTATTTTGTCATGGCTTATTTCCTTGATACTTGAAGTATCTAAAATATAATAGCTATTTTATTTTTTTGTATTTTTCTAGCATTTCTCATGCTGAATAAATGGTTAACAAGAACACTTTAGATTTAAGTGGATTTATCGGCTTACCTAAATAAATTAATTTACAACGTGAAGCCGGAATGAGATAATGAAGGCCAAGTGGTCTACTGTTTCTTATAGCAAGGGTAGAATTTTGCTTTCCAGAGCTAATGCTTAATAATGTTATAGTGGCTTCTTATAAATGTACCTCGGTCTTCCGCCTGGTCTCTGTTTCCCAAACTCGAACTGGTTTCTGGGAAACAACCTGTAAATCCCTGTCTTTCCAAAGATTTTTGGTAAAACTACTAATTGCTTCTCTGATTTCTGACTGATAAATGATACAGCTTTTCCTGTACCCTGTCTTGTACCTTGGTCAAATAATGCTGACTAATGCTTCCAAAATTCCTAAACCAGATTTTTAGGAAGCCACAAGTAAGAGCCAAAATAAATTTCTATTTCCATTTCTAAGGATAACAATATTAAGACTATAAATGCAAAGCCACATGCAAATTCTCCTTGAATGTTTTTTTTAAATTAAGACTATAATGAACTGAATCTAATATCATTAGAATCCAATATCATAAAATTTGTTTTCTTTAAAGAAACTGTATTTCAGTTCATAGAAATAGAATTAAAAGTTAATAAAAATCACATTACATAAATTCAAGAGATATAGTAAGTAAATTATGTATTAAGTAAATTCTTTTTTAATTGATGTATGGCACAAAAAAGTAGCATTTACATATTTGTTGTATTAATGAATGGGATAATTTGGAATATGTTAGTCTTCTCTTTAAATTTTCATGTTATACAAGTTTGTATATATTATGTGCTTCATCTACAAATTATCTCTTTATCATCAGAGTTAATTTGAATGATTTCCACATTAGTGAAATTAAAATTATACATGTAGTATAAGCATGATCATATCTGAAAATGCTTATTTAGGTTTAATTTACTTCTCACTACATAATTCAGCTTGTGTTTAAAAAACAGATGTACCATTCACATAGACACACACACAAAAAGAAAATACCATTCTCTAAAGGAACAGGTACAGACAGTTCCATTATCCTTTCCTCCTGATCATGCCTCGTGTGGTTAGCAGCCAAACTAGCCCACTGTGAAACCCAACGCTTGCTTCCGGATGAAGGTGGGACTTCCTGGAGAAGAAAAATAAAATAACAAAGTAATACAGTCCGGTCAAATCTGATTCTCATGAGAGACAATTCCAGTTAGTCTCATTAACCTGTCATACAAAGCAATATTTACAATTCATATTCTTGTACTCTCATTTATTAAGTTTCCTCATATAGTATAAAATGAATATTCTCTAGTTACCCCCTTTAACGACAACATTTTATTATTGCTGGGAAGGTAGTATAAATCAACTTATGCAAGAGTAACAATGGTACTAAAATAAACTCTTGGAGCTGACATTTACTGCTGCTACGTAAACTTAGGTGTATTGTCCCAGCTTCGTGGCTCTAACAGTGGAGTTAGTTCTACTCCCTCGTAGGGAAGAGGGAGTCTAAAGGTCTGTCCCTAAGTTGTTCTCTAGCCCTCTAACTGTTTCTGGGAACCAGAGTGGTTCCAGAGTCTCAAGGAGTATTAAATCTGCCAGGCCACGTCTTCAGGGATTTCAAAGACAAACCCAGAGCTGAGCACTTCTTTCGATGACACTTTAATATTTTCAGAAAAAGAAGCAATCACTCAACCTTTAAGAATTTTTCTACAACCAATCTGAACCTACACCTATGGATCTTGCCCACGTCTAGATCTATCCTTGAAGCAAGTGCTCTTGAACCCTCACGGTCAAACGTGCAGTGGAACTGAGTTCACGATATGGACCCACAGACTTATGGACACAGCAAGGGGATCCTTAAGACCAGAGCCATCTGGGCATTTAATATGGAAGACCTAGGGAGTGTAAAAAAACCTATTTCCTCACTAAGAATCTAAGCCAAGGCTTAATACTGAAACCAAAATGACAACTAGTGTAGGAAGCTAGGACTGAAAAATTATTTTGAATTATTCAAAAACAATATTTTATTAAAAGTGCCAGATTTGCTATATTACTGATGACAGGTTAGAAGCTGCTGAAGAAAATATTTCATATAAACTGTATACTCTATGATTTCAAAAATAATACGTTAAAATAGTAAGTATACATAAGAACATACATACAATGAAGCCTAAGGAATTATTGCTGAGTCCTTGAATTCCTTTTCAAGGTTTTATGGTAACTGCCCATAGCTCTGGCACTGAAGGAAGTATCTCAGCCATTTACACCGTGCCAGGAATCCCCAGAATGGAGTGGGTTTCATGGGCACATACTTATGTGTAAAAACTGTTCTAATGGCCTTTTTAGGCGACTCTTGCCAAGGCGGGTACGTACTGGGGCCATATACAAATTCTACTTGGCATGGGTTGAGGGGATGAGAAAGGAAGAGAGAATCTATTTAAGTTCACGTTCACCAGAACCTCTCCTAATACCAAACCCCTGCCTCGAACAAGTACAGCTGGCTTTCAGTAAGTAAATGAAGCCTCTTGTGTCTTGTAACACAGAATAACAATTCTCTCAGATCAAGGGGAAAAAAGAACACTACAGCCCAGTCATTACTTTGACAGTTTTCAGGAAACGGCAGGCCATAAAAGGACAATTTTAACATATAGGTAGGTGTATTTACCTATCTATGAGAATATTTTGTTTATACTTCACACAAATGGAACTATTATATTTTGCTTTATTTATACCTTAAGATTTTATTTATTTTATATTTATTTATTTATTTGTATATATTTAAAATCAACTAATTTCCTGAGCGGCAGTAGAGCACAATGAGTTAAGAAACCAAGGCTACTTCAAGTTCAAAGTCTAGCTCCACAAGGCACTAGTGTTAAGACCTTGGCTAACTTAATTATTACATACTACAGTCTCCTGCTTTATAAAACGGTACACAGAAAGCTCCCACTGAATGTTAGCTCTTATTATCTGAATAAATTATATGATTAATTAACACTTCTCAGTTACATGCATTTTTTAGATTTCTTTTGGACACATCAGTGTGGAATGAAATTCTAAGGTCATTTCCAATAAAGGAATGAATAGTTAAGTGCATAAACCTCAGACAGTTACTGTGCTGGGCATTTTATACACCTCATTAAACTCTCTGTAAACAGGTTTTATTAAAAATTATTTTTTCACCCTGGCTGGCGTAGCTCAGTGGATTGAGCGCGGGCTGGGAACCAAAGTGTCCCAGGTTCGATTTCCAGCCAGGGTACATTCCTGGGTTGCAGGCCATAACCCCCAGCAACTGCACATTGATGTTTCTCTCTCTCTCTCTCTCTCTCTCTCTCTCTCTCTCTCTCTCTCTCTCCCTCCCTTCCCTCTCTAAAAATAAATAAATAAAATATTAAAAAAAATGTCAAGAATTCCTTAAAAAAAAATTATTTTTTCAGTGTTTGTAGGGATGAGAAAACTGAAGACAAAAGGGGAAGCAGCTAAGTCAAAGGCAGGCTGTCAGAAGTGGCAGTTCTGGGATTTGAACTCAGGTCTCCCTAGCTGTGCAATACCACACTGAGTCTAAACTACCTTAACCCAACCATCCTTAAATAACGTCACATCATTCTAACTGCATCCCAGCTGTACTGCAACAGCACTGCCTGAGGTTTATAAGTTGTATCTATGAGGCACTACCTTGCATGTTTCCTGGCATGATAAGTCTCTCCATTCCACTTACATGACGTCCTACAAAGTGTAAGCAGTGTATATTTTTTGTTTTGTCTTACAACGCAATTAGAGCAGCGAGCATGAAGCTCATTCACGGCTTACCAACAGTTAACATTTTCTCCCTCACTACAAAACAATGTCAATTTGAAAGAACACAGTAACAAAAACTGAAATGGGATTACTGCAAAACTGCTTTAGGCTTTCAGGGGAAACAAATGATTTGTGAGGATTTAGGTTTTCAAAGTATTTTACGAGGGGACGGATCGAGAACTTCGCGTGATTACAAAGGACAGAAATGCACACTTGTGCGTGGACGACGCTCAGCAGGAGGGAGACGAATACCTCTGAGTTGTGAAACCCAGGAGTGCACAGTGGTCTCCTTTCTTCCACGACTACGGCAGCAGAACTGAGAGCCCAGTCTTTTATCAGATCTTTATGTTTCTCATGGATAATAGGCCTATTATAGTCCTGATTGTCATCTAATCCAAAGACCTAGGAGGAGAAATCATTTCACAAGTGAAAACTCAGATTAACATGCGCATACTCTCAGTAACTTCAGAGGCAAATCAAGATATCCTGCATTGACTTCCACAGTGAGAGAAACCCTGAGCTACGTACGAGGCAGCCTCCGAATGGAGGGAGAGCTGGAGGGAAGAGCGGGCAGTGGCAGCTCACGTAACCGTAACTGCCCCTGGTTGATATTTAGCAAAGGTACTGTTTGGTAGTAAGAAATAGTCAGGATATTACATGTCATCTGTTAAAAGATGGCAATAATGTAAACACGGAGTTAACGCAGAGTTAAAAAGCATACCGCTTGAGCTTGTTTCCAGTCTGTCTCTTTGTTCTGTGATTTTCGAGAAGCATGTTGGAAAACTATAAATGTAGGATGGATTTTATGTGTTCTTTCCCTACCAAATGTTTAACATCTACATACACGCATTAAATTTATACATATAAGTAAGTTCACACATAACAGGTTTTATTGTATGATCTGTATATTGGGTATAGGGTCATTCTCAAACTGCAGTCACCTACAGTAACTCACAGGCCTTCATCTGAAGCGCACATTCCTGGGTCTCCTCTCACAGGCTGAAACTCCGAATTAGCAGACTGTCTCTGGCGGACACTTTGGAAATGTTCTGCATGCAGACAGAGGTCAGCAATCACGTGCTTTCAGGGCAGGACCTCAGGCTCACTCATTTCCTGGCTCATAACAGGCCCCGATTTTGCCAAAGAGGCTGCAGAAAGGTTAACTACGTGAACTTGAACACTCCACAGTCTCCCTTTGTCCCCACTGCTTATTATTATTTACAGGTATTGGTTGTGGCTCTAATTATTACAACCAAGAAAAACATTGCGTTTGAATTAGCACTTTGTAGGAAGGAGTTTTAGAACAATAAACCAGAGACTTCATTCTGTACAAAAGGGGAAAAATACCTTTGTTTAAGCTATTTTCTGGAAAACTTTGGAATGACTATCCAGCACATCTATCTGATACATTTTGAAGTCCACATCTAGTAAGGCAGAGGACAGATTTTTAGTAACTCGAACCTAGGAATTTTACCACTAGATGGCCTTGTCACTTAATATTTCATTCAAATATGAGTACAGTTTTAAAGAATTGTGCTTTCATAGTCTCTCGAACCACTCAGTATTCAAATTATCTTTGCTGCAAGAGCAAATGACATATTATCAAATTTAAATCAAGCAGGAGTTTTAATAACACACAGAAGCACAGTACAAAGAAGGGACAAACCTGCTTCCGTTTGCTCTGCAGGAAAATGAGCGAGTTTAACGACCACGAGCAGTGAGGACACTACGTGCACTTTCCTATGTGCTCTGCCTTGAACCCCACTCGGACAGAAGGCCAATTAGAGCCACTCAAGTTATTTGTGGCCATCTTAAAATTCAAAAATTTTCTAACGCAAGTCATTAAACTCCAAACTTACTGATTTATCTCCTTATTTTTATAAAAACTGCTAGGAAAAAAATCTAACTCAGGTTTAGCAGTAGAAGATGAAAATGACCACGTGACGGTTATTTGCGTGTTGTAGCTCTTTGGCATGCTAATTTACAAACCACCTTAAGTGATCTTCTGATTTGCTGATATCGCATTCTAATCGTACTCATGGGGACTTCCCAAACCTTGACTTTCTCAAACATTTAAGCGCCAGCAGTTTCTAACAAGATATAATAAATCTCTCCAAATCACTTCTGACACTATTTTGAGATGATAACAAAAGACGTAAACACACGTGAGCAACAATGCTTCAGGAAGGGGAGTGGAGTTGTGCAGAGAGAGCACTCAGATGACGTTCCACGGATGCCCTGGCAGGGGCATCGGACCTTTTGGCGCCTCTGGGCCACGCTGGAAGGAGAAGGGTTGTCCTGGGCCACGTGTTAAATACATTCCAACACGTAGTCACAAAAAAATCTCATAATGTTTTAAGTAAATTTATGATTTTCATTGGGCCGCATGTGGCCCGTGCACCGCAGGTTGGACTGCCGTTTGAAAGCATCAGAGACAGCTAGCTCTACCTGTATCTGTCAGAAAGGTGACATCTGTTTATTTCCCAGACAAGGGAGAGAACCTGAACTACCACTGCAAGGGGAACGAAGCCTTCAAAGTTCATCCCTTGTTTTTGACAGTGCTTTGAAAAATTAACGAGAGCAACGACTAGCCTAGCTTGAAATCCGTATCATCATTTTTGTGTCTAGGAACAAAAGCAACTTTTGGTGACAACTTTCATGTGAAAACAAGGAAGCTATAAAAAACCTGTACTGTCTACATACTTTAAAGGTATACTTTTCACATTGAAAAAAGCACATATATTCTGTCCCATGATCTCATAGTTCAACAGAACTTGAGAGCCGCTCAAAGCAGAGGCCAAGTTTGCTCCAGTTTCTCCTCTTTTCCTTCTGGAATCTGTCCCTAGGGGGTGTCACCCACCTCCAAGGCTTCCTTTCAATTCCCAACGACAGACAACTGCTCACCTGTCATCTCTCCTCCTGGATGATTCAGGTGTTCCCAGAGCAGTATCAGCACAGACTCCTGATTCTCTCCTCTTCCCCACTCTGGCCTCAGTCACATGCCCAACCTGATATATGGTACAATCTCTGGAGTTTTCATTCAGCTAGGGACTTATCTGTAGGCTACTGTGCTGGCCACCAGAAAGGATGTAATTTACAGTCCGCCCTCAGTATCTGTGGGTTCCACATCCATGAATTCGACCAACCACAAATTGAATTTTTTTTTCCATAAAAAGTCACACTGCTGGCCTGTATTATGTAGTCAGACATACAGTAACTGTGTCTGTACTGGACATGTATGAACATTCTTTTCTTGTCATTACTCCCTAAGCAATATAGTGTACCAACTATTCATAGAGTATTTACATAGTCTTCGGTAGTACTAGTAAAAATAATTTAAAGTGTATGGGAGAATGTGTGTACGGTCTATGCAAGTACTGTGCCATTTATACAATGGACTTGAGCATCCTTGGATTTTGGTGTCCGCAAAGGATCCTGGAACCAACCCCCTGCAGATAACACAGGACGACCGTATATGGCAGTCTCTGCTCTCGAGGAGCTTAGGCCTCATACAGAAGCTTATGAAAAGAGAGAGAAAGAGAAAAAGAGAGATAGAGAAAGAGAGAGACCTGACCCATACAGAGGTACTCTGTAGTCAAAATGAAACTTCTCTAAGAACCAGACCATATTTTTAGATTTTAGTTTTGAATGGAAAAAAAACCCCTAAATATTCTTCAGATGCTAAAGAACTAGAGTGTATAAATCAAACCAAGCCTATGAGAAGTTTGATTTTGTTTCTTTTTTCACTAGCATATTATTATCACAGTCATTATTATTTAAAAGCTCACACTCTACAGAAAATGCCCACAGCTTCTGATTCTGAAACTGGAGGGGAGAATGATGGTACATAAAGCTAAAAAACACAGGGCTGACTTTCATGGGGGTAACCTTCACACCTCCTGAGTACTTGCACAGGGAGGCCAGGTTATATTCCATGGGCGTGCTTACTGGCACAGGCAGTACACGCCAGTGTGGAAGGGGTGGAGGAAGCGGGGAGACTGGTCCGTAAATACGATCTCTACCAGTTCAACTCCACAGCAGAGGTTCCCACTGCCTATGAAAATCAACTAACACATAATTACTTTAAAAACTACGCAGATGTCTGGCTGCTAACATCAGAAAGCAAAATCAGGATGACTTAATGGAGAAGAATGTTGTTAAATTTGCAATTTTCCAGGCAATTTTAACTTCACTTAAAATCCTTTAAAATTCAGTGGAATAAGTCGTTCTGAAAGTTTAACACAGGATTTGTATAACACGTGTAATCAGCATTTAAATGTAAGGTTTACACAAAATTGTTAGCAGGGGAAAGCTCGGAATGGAGGGAGGAGAGGCATCTCGTAACTGATCACGGTACACCGATGCCCGCAGCAGAATGCTACTCACAAGAGTCAGAAGGTGGAAGCAACAAATACATCCACGCAAGATACATGTGTTGGTCACAGAAGGCATGAAGTACTGACACTTGCTACATCATGGATGACCCTTGAACACATGCTGAGTGCGAGCAGCCAGTCACAAAGGCCCCATCCTGAATGACCCTCTTTACATGAAATGTCCGGAATAAGCAAATCCTCAGGGATCTGCCAGGGGCGTGCCAGGGGCTGGGGGAGAGAGGAGTGGAAGAGACTGCTTAACGGGTGTGAGATTTCTTTCTGGGGGATTCAAGTTTTGTCCTAGAATTAGATACTGCTGATGACTGCACACCTCTGTGAATGTGCTAAAAGCCTCGGAATTATATACTTTAATGGCCTAGAGGGTGAATATTATGTGAATTTTACCTCCATTTTTTTAAAGGCACCATCTGGCTTTCTTTTCCCTTTTCACCCCCGTCTAAATGTTTGCCCCCTCCCTGAAGCTACCCTGTGTCCTGAGTCCTCCCATTCCTCACAAGTGTTATACCCACAGTCTCTTCCTTTCCCATCACTGCTCAGCATTCTTTTTCTTTAGAACCTCCTTTCATAGCTTCACATCCTGCTCAAGCCCAAGCTAATGTTTCTATAGTTAAAATGTCTAAATTCATTCCTCTTCATGGCTCATTTCCTCGTCACACATTCCTTCCATCCCTAAATCTGGCAGCTCATCGATGACCGTCTTACCCTTTCCTTGCCAAGAAGATTTCTAAGTGCTAAGTCATTACGGAGGGACTGCTGGAAACCCAATGGTCTCTCTAGTCTTCCACTAATCAAGGCAATTCTCCTGAAACTCACACGTCTCTTCCGACACAACCTATACCCTTTTGCACCTTTCCTACTGTTAGATGTTAAGCTTATACAAGGTTTTAAACTATACATTTTTAGCAAGTGACTTTAGATCAAGATAGAAACAGAAAGTTTCAGCACATACGAATATAGGAAAACCTGTTTGTGGGGGCCTGGTTGGATTTGATCAATCTATAAAGT